CTCCACAAAACTAACAGGCTTTAACACGTGGATAGTGAACTGAAGATTTAAAAGAACCATAGAAATAACTGAGGTCCTCATAGGATATTTTCGTAAAATCTACTTCCATAAAATTTAGATTATAGAAAAGGTTTTATTGCTTTAAAATCAATTTGAAAATATTAATTTGGAAGGCAACTTCAAAGTAAATTTTGTGCTAGCATAGTTTAAGAAATCTGTCAGAACAGATGACTTAACACCCCCAGTCAATTGTATATCTTAACTAAAATTTTGCCTGAGAATATGCATTGCCTTCATTAGTTATAGATGACACAATTCTCACCTTTTGTGCACATTTGTTAGCCTAGAAGGACTTTGAATGAAATAATGTGATCATTATTTCAACAATCTGACCAAATATCATTGTCAAGAAATAGATCAACAATTAAAGGTGGCAATATCGTTCTTTTCCATATTTAACTAGTTATTATTTTAATATTTCTCTTTTTATCTTATTTACTATGCTAACCAAAGTTAAACTATTGCTCTTGAAAATAAGACACAGCTGTTATTCTTTTTGATAATTGTAACAATAATTGTACTTATGATATAAACCAAATAAAATATCTTCTAGTAATACCTTGTTCAAAAAAAATACACTTTAAAAAGCACCTTAGAACTGGAAAATCATACAAAAATAATATTTTTTTTAGGAAAATGAGTGCCAGGATATATTAAGTCTCCTTCTTTATCTTAGAAAAGTATGTCGATAGAGTCAAGCATTCTAAATTCTGTCAGATTTAGGGAGTATTAGAGAACTCTAATATTATGCAACTTATTTACTGAGCACAAATGGATTTTGCAGTAGGCCAAGGAGCCATCAAGAGTTTGGTTTTACAACCACCAGAGGGCGCCAGGGCCTGCAGCATGGTTAATCAGGGCCATCTCACCCTCAGGAGATATTTGAATTTGGGCATTGCCAAGCTAAAAAAAAAATATGCCCCAAAGAAGAAAATACATGACTCCTTAAGAAATATTTACATTAGGCAACACCTCAATAATGTTGGACTGTTAAACCAAAAGACAGAAAGATTTAACTGGTCTGATTTTGGTGAAGATTAATTTAATAAAGGTTTATATTAATATGTGAGTCACGAAATGAATGACTGAAAGGAACATTACTAAAGCCATTAACACTATCAATTCATTTAGCACCATATATTTAGCACCAGAACAGATATTGATAATTCATCCTTAGTAATAGCCTTCACTTCAAAGAAACCCCAAAATTATAGCAAGTATACAATAATTGTAATGTGTTTTTAGCACCATTGACCAGTGAGAAATTAAACTAAGTTTTTGACTGACCCTTCATAAGTCAAAGTTAGACCATGACATAGTTTTTAAAAATCATTTTGCATGTGTTTAAAAGTCTTCATCCACAGATACAATGACAATACAAAGAAAGTATAAAAGCAAAAATAAATTTAGATATTAATAGAAACACAATTTATTATTCTTATATATTTCAGTAGGTAAAGGCTTCCATCTATGGCAAGGTTTATATTGTATAGTATTGTGGAACCCAAAGTATGTTGTCATATGTTGGAAAACAGACCAAGATCTCAGCATTACTTTTCCTTCTTAGAAACATTTGAGTTATTTGTTTAGCTTGTACGATTATTTAATAAGCAGGGTGGGAACCTAACACATTTAAACTGACATAAATATGTGTTTGATTTACTTATATAGATATTATAAGTTGATTCAACACATGTATTTATAAAAATATATATTGTGGAAAAATATATATATGTGGAAAAATATATATTGTTTCCAATTCAAATATTCAGAGTTAATTGTATTGATTGAACTTGCTCTCTGGTTCAGTCCACTCTCTGCTACAGCTGCATGGAATCTGCAAATGAATGTTCCCATGGGTATTTTAAATGAAGGTGACCGCACGGCCAAATGAAACTCCTTGGGCAGTTCTGATGGGCCACAGAAGTAATGATGTTTAGACTTCTGAACAAAAGAAAAAGAAAAAAACAATAGTACTAATAATTGTTTCTTCCACATATTTAAAGCCAACTTATCTATCCTAACCAGGAATATTAAGAGTATGCCTACAGCTCACAGACAATTCCATAATGAAATGAACCAGTTTAATAGCTAAAGTTGTAAAAAAAATTTCAGATTTTTGCTGACATGGAGGCCAAAAAACTGACAAAATTCTCGAATTTTCTACTGCATAAATGGTGGTGTGAGCATATAAGACAATTACTATTTCTTTTGAATGAAACCTTCCAAATGAAAACCTTAATACTGACTGTATAAAGCTGCTCCTATGAAATAGCTTATTCCCAGACTTTTTCTGCCTCTGGGAATTACAGTGTGAAATGATTCTCTTAGCACCATTGTTGCATGTTGTGAAATATACGACACATGACTTTGATACTAGCAAATTTTCATTCGCTTCAGCTTAGAAAATAAAATATTTCACGTGGCCATTTTATATTACTAACTTTAAATGTATAGATAGAATAACAAATGTACCCGTTATATTTTCAGCTTAGTTGTTAAAGTATAAATAAAGTTATGGTTCTAGTTGTGGTTTGGAAAGTACAATTATGTGTCATTTATAAGTATGTAAATCCTAGTCTTACTCCAATAAGTTTGATGATTTATCTGGATTTTTGTTATAGTCAAAGCTTTATATTTAAGATAGTCTTATGTGAAAAAAAAGTAAAGGAAAGGTGGGATTCCTCTAAATAAGCTTTGAAAGCTAATTCTAAAAATCCATTCAAATAAGCATTTATTAAACACTCATTACATTACAGCTACTGTAGAAAAAGCCGGAATACAAAGAATTAGGCAAAGTTCATGCCAAAGAGGAGCTCTATTAATTATAATTTTAATTTTTATAAATTTCTATTACTTTGGCAAATTTACCTTCATAGAAATCTCTATGAAATACAGAGCAAATTTCATTATTCTGAGAACTGAGAAACTAAGCTACCCAAACAAGCCAGCAAAAGAACTGGCACTGAGAATAGTCAACATCTATTGAATAGTACTCACTACAGTTTTTTTGCAGAATACTATAGTAACATTAAGGATGGAAACTCTTTCTAAATAAATGAAGCAAATATCCCACAATGCCACAATGGGCTTTYGGTCCAATTGCCTAGGCATCTTAAGACGAAAGTTGGATTGAGCACTAAATCATATAATTATTTCTGTTCTTAGTTTTATTCCAAAACATATTTATTTTTAATAGGGTCCACATATGAGCCCACAAGAGCAGAGAAGTCTCATATAAAACATTTGGTCACCATATTTAATTTGTAATAGTAATTAGGCCAGTTGTTTTTCATCAAGTAGACCCAATCTTCAGATGTTGGATTATTCTCCCTTGGAGTGGCTTTAATTAAGTGTCGTTTTTCAAGGTATCCACCCTAAGAAACTGCAAATGTGGACAGAATTTAAACTAGTAGCTTCTTTCTGTTATTGGCACACTGGAACTAACCATGTTTACTTGCTCTGTAATCCTATGCAACCATTACACAACCTGACTGAACATACATACATGTGAAATGTAATGGGTTCACCGTCTTGACCCAGATGTTGTATTCTCCACTCTGAAAGATGTTTGTAAGTGAAGAATTGTAATTTTTAAATCACTGCAGTAAAATTTTCATAGTGATTTATTTGATTTTCATAGTCACATTTAATGAGGAACTAAATGTTATTTTTCCCACAGAAACATAGAAACAATAATTAGTAATTAGTCTGTAGGAAAAATCTGAAGAGGGCTTTGCTAATATAAACCATAGCTGTATGTGGTGTGTATGAAAGATCTTTAATATGATAATGGAAGGCCCAAGATGATTGACACACAAGATAATGACAGGCAGAACAATGATGAGAAGGTGGAAACACAACCTCATCTCTTCCTGAACTTCTTCACCATCTCACAGTGGGCCTAGAGATGTACTAGCCCTCAGGATATGCCCTTCTGAAGCTCTCCCCCTGATCTTTTTTTGTGTGTGTGCATTAACACTATATCTGTGACTTTTCACACCTGACCTCTAAACCTTGCTTTCTCTGTTCTTGATGAGTTTTCTGCTGGTCTTGCTTTCTCAGCTTTCCAAAGTCACCACTATCTGTCTTGCTCCAGAAATCTCTAAGGAGTCATTTATTCTGTCTCTCTTTTTCCAAGGGCTGTAGCTGAAATTTCCTGGGAATCAGATTTCCATGTTAGCCAGATTATCATTTAGTCCACTTACAGGTGAATGCTGTTGCTGTGTTCGCTTTCTCACAGCTATGTGAAAAACAATTCGTTAAAAAAAACCAACAACTTTGCAGAAAAAATCAATAGTTTGCATTGTTTCCTAAATATCTCTGTGAGCTTCTTAAGGCAGGAACTCTATCTAATTATCTTTGCATTATCAGAACATAACCACCAGAGTGCCTTGCCTGAAGAAAGAACTCAACATGTGACTACTGATTCAATCAAATAAGACCAAACAAAAGGTGGGATGTATAAATTTACATAAAATGAGCACAGCCTTTGGAAGACCCCAATAAGATAAAATAACTCTGAAATGTTTGATCCATTAATTGAGTTATTATTTTCAGGTATCACTGGGAGAGTGTTATTTTGCAAACTATCATTTTTGTGCATATTACAGAAATGGTGCTAAGATGTACCACCACCTCAAATATATTTTAGAATATTTTTTAAAGTTTCCTCAAGTTAACCACTGTATTGTAATATCTATGTGTTGCATCACATAGTATGTTTGTGTGCATATACATACACATATGTCTGTATATATGTGTATGATGCACACATACACATTACAGGTTGAACATATATTTTATTCCTTAGGAACATAATATCATAATTCCTTTGGAATGCAAGTTTTGGAATTGACTGCATCAACTATGGCATCACTACCTATACAATATTTTAATTTAGAGGTCAGAAAATAGAAATGGATGTTTTGATTGTGTCCAAGGATTAAACAACATACTAGAAAAATACTATACAAATGAATACTAAAAAGAAACAAGTTTATCATTATAAAATATGTATAATATGTGCAAAATTCAATATATATATATGCTTATGATTCCCAGAAACCATGACATTTCCTGGAGAAAAAAGGTAAGCTTATTTAAACCAATATAGGTAGTTTGACGTTACTCCTGGAAAACACAGATTGTCAGTACAAGATCCCCCGTAACTCGGAGGACAGGATGAACACGGCACTCCTACTTTATATGGTGCTTCTCCAATCCAGTTGCCCCTGGAAGGAGAAAACAAAATGGCATCAGTCATACTCACTTATTTTTAAAAATCAGATTGTCCTTAAGCTCATGCTCATGTGTATTGGCAGATGAGAATCTTTTTCAGAAGCTTATTTTAGAAAGCCACCGAAAAGTACATCCATTTCTTATTCCCACCATAAGGTATTCTATGTATTTTGCTCTTAAAATACTTTCTTTCTGTGTAAGTAGTATTATCTTAATTCACAGGTAAGAAATGTGGCCCTACAATTCATGGTGATACCACAGATCAAATCTGCCTCCTCTGGCAGGCTTCAAGAGCACATAATCAGATCTTTGTCACTTAAACTTAATCCTTCTAAATTCATGCTAATTATTCCTAAGGATGGTTAACAAAATACCTAGTATGTTCTGGGATGCTCAGAAATTATGAAATGAGTAAGTCACCATATCCACAATAAATACACTATAAATATTCTTAGATGTGTTTCTAAAGTTTTAAAATATTTTAGGTTCCAGTCTTCATAAAATAAAGAGAAAAGCACAACTGTATTCTCACAGTAAGAGAATGAGGGTTTGTAGAGACAAGGAGAGGTGATTTCAAAACCTTTCTAACATATAAATTCAAATTCATAGCTACTCAAATTTTTTCAGTTACTGCTATTATTTTTTTTAATCCTGAACACATTTGACTGAATTATTTTGTGCTGTCAATATTTTTCTTCCAATGTATGTATGGCCATGATCATAATAATAAATCAAATTCACCATTTAGACAACTTTAAAATAGCTGCAATACCAGACTGTTATTTGACTCTTTTAATTATGAAGGAGAAGTTTGCATGGTGATAGTGACTAGAGCATTAAGAAATACTAATATAGAGAGCAATGTGAAGGAAACTGAAGTTTCAGGAGAAAGTCTGGTTATAATGGTATAAACCCAAGGCTGAGCAAATGAAAATAACAGGTAAGTGGTTAAAATGTGAAACAAGTGGTTCTTATCTTTTTTAAACTCTGAAAAAAACAACCAGGCAATGACAATGAGAACATGAAAATATCTATTATAGCCAATTAAATAAAGACCCACACTTTTTTTTTAAATAAAATGCACATACAGGAAAACTTACCCATAAAATGAAAAGCTTGATAATTTATTATTAATATTATAAATGATGGAATTTTAAGACTTTCCACTTCTGTTTAATTTATTCTGCAGTCTGCCTTGAGGATAATATTTGCCAAGCATAATTCTGATGTCATCACCTGCTTGTCCAGAAATATTCAAGGCCCATTCTAAGTGTGCCTGGCTTCTTAACTCCATCTCATTCCATTCTGTATCTAATTACCCAAAGCTAAAAATGTATATGGATCCAGGCTATGCTATCTAAATTTTATTTTCTACTTATTTTCCATCACTTTTTGAAACACATATTTTTGATAAGAAAAAAAATCAGAAATAAAATTTTATTATATGTGACATTCTATATTATATTAAGAACTTTTACATAAATCTCAGATTTTATTGAATTAATGATATTCAACAATAAATCAGTTGGTTGATCATGTTATTTTACTTTTTTCCTATTCCATCTAATTAAATTCTCTTTTTGCTCTTATTTTTTTCCCTACCAGTCAAGATTTTTAAACTTTTCATTACCTAGTTTCCAGAAAATTTTGTTAAAACTAAAATATAGCATGTTAATGCAATATCTTAATTTTTTGGTTCTAAAAAACAATCATGGAGCTCATCAATAATATTAGAAAATTCTAATCATTGGGCAAAACCAAAATTATCAAATGGATGAAACAAATACCATTTTTACCATTTGGTTACTATCTAGCCTATTTATGGCAGGAGAAAGTGGAAAGGCACAATAGGAAAATAAAAAGTGGGAAAATAAAAATGTCCAACAAATGCACAGTTTTAATGCCTATTCTTAATGATGCATTTTAAGAATTATTATTATTATTAATAAACATTCTGTTTTCCAAACCTCCCTAACCTAATAATTATAAAGAGGGGACCATCTGGAAAATCACTATTTTTCTAACTTTACAAAAACACTGCCACTGGCACACCACCATATCAATGAGTAATGCACTTATTCCTGACACATTTTCTCACTCCCACCCTGTGTTGGAATAGCTGGAGAAAATCTTTGTTTGGGACTTACTTTGGATGACACCAAGAGTATCATAAATCCTTTGCACATTTTGTTATTTATTCCAAATGGGAACAGAACTGTGTATAAATATTGGAGCATTTTATCTTCTAAAGAGCTATTGTTATCAGGAAGGCATTTTTTCAAAAGTTGGCAAATATCTATTGATCCTTCTATACTAAAGCTTGTTCATAAATATGACTATCTTATAATCTTTGATAAATTTCTATAATATATTCTATGTGGGCCAAAGATTGAGAATATGAATTTTTAAATAAGAAAGGATTCATTTCCAATACTGTGCTTTCCTAGTGAAAAAAGGTGAGACAACATTCTATATTGATATATGAGAGTATTGTGTATTGATAAGTTCCCAGCAGATTCTTTTCTGATGTCCTCTATATAGTTATTGAAAACTTACAAAGTATGATTAGGAAGTGTTTGCAATTGCTATGACAGAGGATGGTAAGAAGACTTTAGTGAGAACACTGTCTCAGATTGTTTTGCTTACAATTTTACCCCAGAATCCCTGCCCTTGTTAAAAGAAACCTTTTACCTAATCGTTTTTCAAAAATATAGGAATGAATGATGGTGGATTTGAGGATTAGAGAGCAAATGTACAGTAAAGTCTTACACATTTATCTGTCAAAAATGCCTATTAGACTGGAGGTATTTAACATGTTCAGGGATCCAGGAAACAGAATACAACCTGGTACTTACTTTGGGGCATAGTTGCATACCAAATACACGGCGCGGCGCCATACAGATCCCCACACATTCATGTTTTGGCAAGTATGAATTGCACATCCTATCCGATTGGAAGTGGCCCAAACCATCTGTGAAAATAAACCAATATTTTCCAATATTGCTAAGAAAATGAATGTCCCTCAATATATAATAAGATTTTTTAAAAATATGAATTGAACATTAAAAAAGACAATTGAAACAACCTGTGTATAATGTGTGCACATAGGACCAAAACATCTCATAGGACATCTGGGGTTGCAATCCTGGGGATATGGAAAAGCATAATCTTTCACTTCATCGTACCATGGCTTGACCAACTGGAGAATAGAACGATATCTAGATGTCAAAAGAAAAAAAAAAGCATGTATGATACAGCAATGGTAATTTATAATGGACTCATGTTACATTGTAAGTTGATTTAATAAAAAGATTATTCATGAGGATCCAACAGCATATTTACTCTTGGAATTTTTCCAAGTAGGAGCAAGCATGCAAAATGCCCAGGACTGGAGGAAGTGACCCTATATTTGTCTAAACATGTGTTGGGTTATTTTGAAGAAAGAAAATGTAAATATTTTAGGAGCTATCAAAATCTTATTTAATCTATGTCCGAGTGAACACTAAGTAAATATCTTCTGATGTTACTTGGAACTGGTGTCATTCTCCCATATAATACAAAATTCTCCCATGAAATAAAATCATGTAAATAAACTGCATCAGCAAAACTACTTCCTACCTGCCAGTTCGGACAGACAGATTTTGGCCCAAAAATCTCAGCAGGTAAGAAGGTCCATGATCCCAAATGCAAGTAGCCGCCCAAGCCTCTGCAGATTTTGCAAGATTTTCATCCCAAACCTGTAGGTATAAAAAAATCTTCATTTTTACGGATTTGCTATAACAAACACAAAGTAAATGGAAAGTAACAGTACTACTATTTCCTAGAATTCTTTCAATTCTAGAAAGAACTAGAAGAAAGCTACTTCACACCATTGTTATTATATGGTTGTACTACAAAAAGAATATTGTCTTTATAATGCTCTTAGATTCAACATCCAGACCTCAAGTTTGGTAAAGGATATGTTTAAAAAATACCATGTTTATTCAGGACATCTCATACTGACCACTGAAATTTGAATCCAGCAAAGTCAATAGATTTCCCTAGAATTCATAAGGAGCMATGCTACTAATATATTTAAAAACAAATATGATCAATTTATTCAAAATTAACACTAATATTATATTGCAAATTCCAAAGTTCAGTTTATATTATAACATTATTAACCAAATGGAATCTTCATGTTTTATCATTTGACTTTTTATAGCAGTACAATAATAAGAGAATTTACATCTTTAGTTGGTATGAGCTAGAAACAAATCATGATTGAAAATAACTTGACAATGGTACGTATCTAAGTTGTGACACAAATGTTGTATAAYATGGTTTAATTAAATAAATTAAGAAAAACAGTAACTTACTTTCCTTGAAAAAGAAAGGCAAAATAATAAGGATGTTATTCATGTACAGCAAATTTTTTTCATGGAAAAAATTTGTAGGACAATATTTGAATGACCCTTAGGTTTAATATGTATTTATATTAGTTACTATATGGATTGATAGGCTCATCTCCATAGCTGCATAAAGATATTAAGCCAAGTATTGGTGGACCTGACAATAATAAGTCACTCTGAAATGACAATCTATTTTCTAGGTAGTCATAAGGCATAAGGCACAAAATAGAAAATAAATAGCTTTCTTCCAAGCAAAAATGTTTTCCAAAATTCCTCCCTAGTAGGAACATTATTTAGCGATGATTTATCTGGTGGAAAGAATAACTTTAACATTAAATTTCATAGTTCAAAGTCATAACATTATTTCCTACATTATTTATAATATTTATATATCCTAGCTTAACACTGTGTTCAAATTGTAACTCGAGTGTGGCTATTAATTTATTTGAGAAAGCTAAGACATTATATGAAGAAGGAAGGGAGAATTCTGTAACTACTCAAATTAACATGGAGCTTCATGTGAAAACTTGGTGTCTTTCTCTTCTACCAGGTTGTGAGTTGTGTACAACAGAGCAAGAGTTAATAGCCTTGCATTCACTGCAAGTTACAAGTTTTCTAGCACACTTATGGGACTTTTTGGTCATAACACTGAAAAGTCTTAATCTTTTTCCAAGGATAATGCGTTACATAGATTTATTTAACATGGAAATGTATTGAAGTGAAAGAAAATTAAGACAATGACTTTGAAACAAAATGAGAAAAAAAAAATGAACTCTTCAAGAGACACTTATCCAAAAAGACCATGGCACTTACCCTCAAAAGAGATTTGTTAGTCAGAAATTGTTTTAAATTATGAAAAAAGTCATCTTCCACAAATCGATATAGGATTGCATGAAGTAAACTCACAGAGTTCACATAAACTCACAGTATTCCAAGATTCAAATGCACTTTCAAAAATTTTAAATGCTTGGCTTGATTTCCTTATGCAACTATTGAAATAAGCCTGTCAATCCACATGGTAAATAATATAAATGCATATTAAACATTAGACTTATTTGATATAGTTCTATCTAATATTTCTTCTTTCACTAAATATTAATAACATATGAATTTCTGAAATGTTGATTGCAGTTTACCATAGTACAAAATTAGTTCACAAAGGAATTTCAGACAGATAGTGTCAACAAAATTTTTTTCCTGAAATATTCTTAGCTAATTGTATTTACTTTGGAAGAAATACAAGTAGGCATCGTTTCCATATTGAAGTAAAGTGTGAACCCAGATCTAAAGACACTTTCTTATAATCTTCTGCTAAAATAGAACCACACCATGGTACAAATAAGACTTGAGACTCAAGGATCCTGTGTTCTATCCCTATTTCTACTACTCAGATCATCTGTGACCGAAGACATGTCAATTATTATCTCCTATGCAACTCATCCATAAAATAAGGAGTTTGCATGAGGTTACATCTAGGGTCCCTTTCATCTTCAGCTTCTCATGATTTATAGGCACTTGAGCAACTCCTGCATCTGAGCCTAAAAGACCTGTTATATTGTCCTGTGAATGGCTCAGCTCTCAATCCAAATAATTTGAAATATTTAACAATCTTTGACTATTTCAATATCTATATGAGTATCAAAAGGTCATGTTGTGTACCTTAAATATACAAAAAATATAGTAAAAAAGGAAATAATGAGAAACTTAAAACATTTCACAATTTTAGAAGTAATTTACCATATATATATATATAAAGCCTGCCTTTATGCTCATTCATATGTTGAAAAGCTAAATATTGGGTGTTCAAAAAGGTAAACAAAATTTTTCAAACATGAGAAAGTATCTTACAAAAGCATTCTTTGTTAACTATTATAAGGGATTTTGATATGAAGTAAATGTGTTTACCATTACGGAGGATCACGTTTTTAGTTGTATCTATGTAAAAACATCTTAAGTAAAATTTTGAAGAAGATGGTTTCAAGGGAAGAGTAATGACTGCTTTCCTTCTCTGCATGTATTTGTTTTTAGAGAACTGGAGGGAAGGATTTCTGCCTGCTCCATGTTCCTAAAGGACAATTCTGGAAAGGATGATAGACACAGACTGACAAGGTCCCATACAGAGGGGGTGACTTGCCCTTCCTATGGGATATATGACTGACTCCCTCTAATGCCTGCTGCAGGAGAAGTCAGAGGTGCTGTATCTTTCTTGCCTCTTCGTGAGTTTAACCCACCCTCCAGAGGAGGGAGGGCTGTCTTAAGTAGGGAGCTCTAATATTTGGGAATTACATCATATCTTCAGGTTAACTGCATTTGCTGTCACTGTCTTTCTCCACTGGTTATATCTTCCAGGAAAAAAACATGGGTACATAGAAGTCTTTAATCTTCTGAGGTATTTGAGTTTATGATTTTGATGAGATCTCTGAGTTGTGAAAATAACAATCATAACTGTATTGAGAAACTACAGGATATTTTAACAAAAGATTTACAGTTTTTGTAAGGAGTAAACCCACATGTAGTATTTTTTTTTTCTCCCCAGAAGCTCTAAGTTGGACTGAATGTCACCAGGGCAATAATGTGAAAGAATTTGTCAAATTCAGGGAATGAGTTGTAAATTGTAAATTGCCTAAGCATTTGACTTAGTTTATAAATTTTTGAATTCATGATGATCAATCTATCCAATGAATTTCTCTGGCATCTTTTTCTGAGCATTTATTTGAAATGATTTTAATATTTTAGCCTGTGGATGTATCATCAGAGGAAACAAGGGTACAATTATACACCTAATTCTATGGAATGCCTAGAAAATAGGAAAATCAGTATTATTTTTCATTGGGAAAAAGAGACACCTGCTATTTTGTTAGCTTTTATTCAAACAGCTTTGGCATTCTGTCTCACTAGTTCTTTCCTCTCTAAATAGGTAAGACATTTTCACAGATAATTTACTCATAAAACACCTCAATTCTTACACCATAAGGATGAGGCAAAAATTAAGATTATTATGAATGAATGTGTTAGATGTTATGATGAAATTAGGTAATTCATAAAATAAAGTGGCTTACAATGGCATCAGAGTGTGCATAGACTTGTAGGTTTTCCCTAATTGCACCCAAATGGCTTTCTTCTGTTCTTTGTTGTTTAGAGCCATTTAGTTGATCAGTTCATAAACTGAATTACCTTTCGACTAAAGCATTCACTATGAGTTATTCTGCTTGTTACATAATAAGATAGATCAAGCTGGACACAGTACCTTGCCTATAAATCACAAGAAGTTGAAACAACTTAGACTAAGACCTGAGAGAGATCCAGAATTCAAACTGCTGTCATTTTAAATATCTAGACGAATTGTGACCCTAAGAGATAAGGTGAATATGAAAAGAATGCAGGATTCTCATCAAGTTCAGAGATTTTCTAGACTTGAGCTAAAGAATACAGAATTGAGTAAGAGAATGTTGATGGATTGGAGGTCACTTGCTTTCATAAGAAGACACAAAAATTAGACAATGATATGAATCCAACCCAGATAAGAGGTTGTCTAATCAACTATCTTTAAATTTTGGGATCCACAACATTGTGGCAGCCAGGATCATGAAACATCATGACATCTGAAGCTCCCTTCTTAAATCCCAGCCAGTATCTCTAGCCAATAAGAAATGTGGTCAAATTGGAAATCAGCAAGAATTGTTACTTGGAAATATAACTCTGAACTTGCTTGAGATGACATTTTTTCCCCTTAAATAGGTAGCATCTTTTGCCTCATAGAAAATATATAGAAGTTTTTAAATGTGTAAAATTTTAAAAGGATGAATATTTTGATAAGGAAATCTGTACTTAATTGCTTTTATTATTATCTGTAATATTTAAAAGAATACAGCATATTAAAGTAACAGAGCAGTCATATTTTCAATATAAAGTAATTACTTAAATTTGTGATTTTAAGTTGAAAATGATAAGAAAATGTTTTAATTTCATTCTTAAGATAGTACTTAAAATCTAAAATTTAGGAGAATTTAAGAGTCATTGTTTTTCTTAGCTTACATGTCATTTAAATACATGGAAAGGATAATTATCAATAAGTCAGTTGAAATAATAAATGTGAAAATCAAACATTAAACCTATAAATACAGTTTAAAATTTTAAATCAGTGAGTAAATATAATTGCTAAAACCTGCTATATTTATAAAAAAAATCAGAATTTGAAGTTAAAAATTGAAGAAACAAGAATATTAATTTTGACAATTATACTTAACTCTGAAAAAATACATTGTATACATGGAAATATTTCAAAGATATAAAGTGCTAAAAAAAAGTTTCACATTGAGTGTCTAGAGACAGATTTATGAATTGAC